TATCCTCAGAGCCAGAAATAATTTGAGTATGTTCTTTGATTTTTGTATTATCCCCTATGACACATCTCATGTATATTTTCCCAAGTAAATACTTTTTGTATTCTTTATGTCTCATGTCAATACTATAAAGCCATATAGATAAATTATAATGATCTCACTATCTTTTAACCTTATTCATATCTATAGTTTACCACAGTCAATGCTTCCAAAGAAACATGTTAGGAATTATTTCATAAAACTATTATTTATTACCATATATGAAATTTTATCAATTGGCATATGAAGAGTAAATTCAAAAGGATCTGACAAGACATATCTTGACCTATTTTTGATCTTCCTCCATCACATACTTTAGTCACCTGATGGATGAACCTAGTTATCTTGCTTCATGGAGCTGTTTTTAATCCTCCAAAATAAAAGTAACAATCTGGGGTTACAAAAATAGTATAGTCAATTTAGGGCATTTGCCTTGCTTATTGCTAACCTGAGTTCCATCCTAGAATCCCATAAGTTTTCATGAACAGCAACAGAAGTGATTTCTGAGCACAAAGCCAGGAGCAAGCCCTGAGCATCTATAGATGTGTCTCAACCATCACAAAACACAATAAAGAAAAGAGAAGAAGACAAAAAAGAAAAGAAAAGGAAAGGAAAGAAAAGAAAAGAAAAGAAAAGAAAAGAAAAGAAAAGAAAAGAAAAGAAAAGAAAAGAAAAGAAATCTATATATAGTGTACTATGAATATAATGTCCTGGACCCAGGTTTAATTTTAGAAGTCATACATTTCAATGCTGCTTAAACTTTAGTAAATATTTGATACCTATTATAGTTATTGTAGCTCTTATGGTTGATATGTAAACGCTGTGCTGAACACTTTTATGTACCTAGTACATTCCAATTTTATGAGGCAATTCAATATTTATCCTTAACATATAAATTGTCTTATCATAAGCTGGTTAATTAATTTCCCCAAAACTATCTGACTAAACAATGAAGACTTAAATATGTGTGCAATGGGAGATAGTAGAAGGATTAAGCTACAAACCTTTACATGCACCCCCACCCCACTGGAAGTGTCTTAGCATTGCAAGACCTGAAATATATTACATATACAGGTTCTTCCAGTGCACCAGTAGCCTAGTTGACCGAGAATCTTGAGTAGTCTATGGACCATCCCTCCACTCCTGAAAAACACTTGAGAATCTTCCCCTCCAAACACAATGAAAAAAATCTCGTTTTTACTTTGGAGAACCTGGCAGGCTACTGAAAGTATCCTGTCGGCATGGCAGACTCTGGCAAACTTCCAGTGTCCTACTCAATATGCCAAATACCAGTGACAATGATAGGTTCTCATTCTCCTAGCCCAGAAAGAGCATTGAATATGGCTCTTTTAAAATCTCAGGACTAGGAAGAAGGAGACATTACTGGTGCCTGCTTGAGGCAATCGACGAACAACGGGATGATCGTGATCGTGATAAACTAATTTGTTCCTCAATACTTTGAATTTCCTAAAAGTTTACAGGGTGCTTGCAGAAATCTACAAACTTTTGAAAGGAAGACACAGTCCTTACCTAATCAATATCATTCTAGAAGCTGAAACATGTCACCAAAAATTTTGTCAAGATCAAGGATTCTGTACCAGAAAAACCTGGAATCCAAGTGACTATTCTCACTTGAACCTTAAGTGTTTTAGTATTATGTTTGGGTACTTTCACAAGATTATAATACTTTTGAAACCTTCAGGTTCCCCAATATTAGGGTATGCTTTCATGAGAAAGTTTGTAAACCAATCATTGTATACCCAAGAATCAATGTCTTTCATTCTAAAATATACAAGGAAACAGTATATCAGTCACTACACAAGTCATAACAGAACCTTACAAATCCACTCAGTGACCTTTTAAGACCAAAAAAAATTCCCCACTAATCAATCACATAGACGCCCTACTTTTCCTGAAATTTCTATCAAAATATCAATTGAGGTCAGGAGACCTATCTTCAACAGAAACCAAGGAAAGTTGTCAAAATGTATGCACACTCTATGTATTGATACATTCTACATTATAATATTTAATACTTAGTTTTGTCAGATTAATTTTTAATAAGCCCATTTCACTTGAATAAAAATATTTCTCCTCACTAAATTATTCATTAAATGATTATACCAATGACTTTTACTCTTTATATAGTATGTATTTATAATTCATATATATTCTTATATATTCATATATCCAAGTAAATATAAACATATATATGAAATACACATTTCTTTGTTTCTTGATTGTCAAATTTGAGACTTCTATGTACCTAAAGTTCCTTATTTTCTTCAGGTATCAAACCACATCCTTCTAAAATGATTTGAGGATTTATTCTCTGATAGGTTTATTATAATCACAGATCATGCAAGATGAAGTACCACCTTTGTTGTGTTACATATGTGAGCTTTATTTTCACAGAAGACTTGAAAAATGGAAAATTATATCAGTGTGTGAAAAATATAATGGATTTTCAGCATATTCCAACATGTACTTGAGAATTTGTGAATGTCAGAGAATGGTTTCATGAGGGCTATTAAAAAACAAAGTGTCTGATGCCTTCAGTGTTGAATCGTATTCGGAGTGGAGGCACAAATGGAAGTTTTCAAAAGATAGTTTTTAGAATGAATAGTAAAAAACAACCAGATAACGAAATCCTTTATGAAACTCTACCTGTATGTAGTGTTTTCAGAAAGGCCTGAGTCAGTCGGCATTCCCACTAGCTGTGAAGGGGTGTCCCTTTCTCCCCACATTCATGCCACACCAGTTGCTTATGTTCTTTTGAATGTGGGTCAGTCTCTGTGGTGTGAGATGATATTTCATTGTTGCTTTGATCTGCATCCTCCTGACGATTATTATGAAAGGCATTTTTTCATGTGCTTTTTGGCCATTTGGATTTCTTCTTTGAGAAAGTTTCTGTTCATTTCATTGCCCCATTTTCTGATGGGGTTCTTCTTAGAGAGTTCAACCAGTGCCTTGAATATCCTAGATATCAACCCCTTATCAGATGGGTATTGGGTGAATATTCTTTCCCACTCTGTAGATTCTCTTTGTATTTTGGTCACTGTTTCTTTTGAGCTACAGAATCTTAATTTAATATAGTCCCATTTGTTTATCTCTGTTTCCACTTACTTGGTCAGTGGCATGTCATCTTTGAAGTTACCTTTAGCTCAATGTCATGGAGGGTTTTGCCTAACTTGTCTTCAATGTACTTGATGTATTCTGGTCTGATGTTGAGGTCTTTAATCCATTTTGATCTGACTTTTGTGCATGGTGTTAGGTAGAGGTCTGAGCCCATTTTTTTTGCATGTAGTTGTCCAGTTTTTCCAGGATCATTTGTTAAAGCAGCACTTTCCATGCTCCACTTCAGATTTCTTGCTCCCTTATCAAAGATTATATGATTATATATTTGAGGATATGTGTCAGGATATTCCTCCCTGTTTCTTTGGTGTGTGACTCTGCATTTGTTCCAGTACCATGCTGTTTTATTACCACTTTGTAGTAGAGTTTGAGGTTGGGAAAGATGATGCCTCTCATCTTCTTTCCCCAAGAACTGCTTTAGAAATTTGTGGGGGTTTGTTGTTCCATATGAATTTCAGGAGTGTTTGATCTATTTCTTTGAAGAATTGCATGGATATCTTTGCATTGCAGACCACAACACCCTAAAGGAGTGAAAGAGTATAAGGGAATGTGCCTATCACAGAGACAGAGGGGGGAGGTCAGGGGGTGATGGGGATGGGTGGGAGGGCTGCTGGGAACATTGGTGGTGGAGAAGGGCACTGGTGGAGGGATGGGCACTCGATCATTGTATGACTGAAATGTAAGCACAATTTTTTTTTAAGTCTGTAAGTGTATCCCATGGTGATCAATTTTAAAAAATTTTAAAAAAATACATCAGTGACTGGAGTGATAGCACAGTTCAAGTAACTGCCTTGCACATTGTGATCCAGGTTTGATCCCCAGCACTCCATATGTCATCAAGTACTGACAGGAATGCAACCTGAGTATAGAGCCTGGTGTAAGCCCAGGGCACATCCAGGTGTGTCCCAACCCACCCCTGTCCAAAAAAAAAGAGAGGGAAGTGAAGAAAAGTAACTATCTAAGGAAAGATTTCCATTATTATAAAGCCCTGAAATCAGTTTGAATAATTTTACATATTGAAGACTCAAATTCTGACAAATAAGTATATTTCTAAATGAAGTGCATGTGTTAATGTAGCTAGTACATTTTACCTTTATGGGGCAGTTCTATATTTATCTTTCACATATAATATGGTGGGAAAAATCTGGTAAATTAATTTATCCCAAATCATTTGGCTAACAATAAAAACTTAAAAAAAGTAAGTGGATTGGGGAGATATTATGACTAAGATACATACTTTCCATGCACTAAATTCAGGTCTGATCTGGTCTCCACAGACTATAAAGTGTGGCCCTGGAAGTGCCTGAGCATTGCAGGATCTGAACTGGATTCATCTGCAGGCTCTTTCATTGCACCAGTAGCCTAGTTGACTGAGAATCCTAAGTGCATGGACTCTTCCTGCAAGCCTCTTGAGAATACTTCCCCTCCAAAAAAAAAAAAAATTACAGATTCCTAAATTGACTTAGAAAGTCAGTGAACTAGATCTCCACCCTCAATAGATAGGCTAAGATCCCCAATGCTGAAACTCATATACTATTCTGCCCTCAGACTCACAAATTTATCATTATTAAGAAAAACCAAGGTTGAAGTTGGTTAAGTCTCAACCAATTATTACATGCCCTGAAATGGCATGTAAAATTCACTTTAAAATGTCTACAAAGTACATTTGAAATATTATTTCTAGTTACAGTAAAAATGATGAATTTTCAATCCTTTGTCTGATCTGGTTTTCCTCTTTCTTGATTGCTGTATATAGCTAATAATAATAAATTAATTTAGATATAAATTAACTTGTTTCTTAATATTCTGGACAACTTTAAAATCTACAGGATCGTTGCTTGAAGCTGAATGCTTATATGGAGAAGATATTGCATCCTTACTTAATCAATGTCACTCTAGCAGCTAAAATATGCAGCCAGGCACTTTGTCAAGATCAAGGATTCTGTACCAGGAAATCCTGGAATTCATCAGACTACCTTCACCTGAACCCAGAGAATTTTGTTATTAAGTTTGAACACTGTGACAAATTCATAGTGTTTGGGCAACCCTCGGTTGAAGATCTAATGCAATTTTCTAACAAATTTAATTGTAGCTGTTTTGGCAATACCACTTGTATGAAGAATGAGAATATAACAAGTGTTAAAAATGTTAGGGTATGTATTAATGAGGAAGTTTGCATATCAGCCCTTGTAAATCCGGGAAGAAGAGTTCTACCTTCCAGAAAACACAGACAAGAACTAAACCCATAATCCACTCGCACTCCACAAACCACAACACCCTCCATAATGGTGACCTTAGAGACCACATAGACACCCACTTGTTCACATAGACAACCAGCATTCTGGGAAATCATATTTGTGTGCACAATGATATTAGGAATTATGGAGAAGACATTTTCATGAATAAACAAGGAAAGCTGTCTGAGTGTTAACTGGAAAAATGGTTCTGTCTCTGTAACTCCCACCACTGGAAAATCCAGCAGCTCTTGCTCACTCTCACCGCCTTGCAAGCAGAAAAATGGCCCAGTTCCACAACCAATCTCCAAAAGAACAGATACCACCAGCAACCAGAATACGCAGCAGATCCACTCACACCAATCGTCTTGTCAGCATATAATCAGCCCAAATTTACAACGAATCTCAGAAACCGGTGAATTATTCATGTTGGACCAGTCTATGGCTAAAAACTGTAGGGCATTCTCAGAATGAGGGCCTTCTGATTCTCCATACCGACTCCGTGCACAGGACAACCAGTATTCCCTTCCCATACCACGATCTTTCCAGAACAGAAATCACCAAACTGCACAACCAATTGCAAAAAGAACATGATGCCTCCAAATATTCCAAGGTAGAATTATCTGGTCTGAAGATTTGTGGGCCTTCTTGGAATGGGAACAGGCAGATTCCTCTCTCTGCCTGAAATCTGAGGCATATACAAACACAAACTACACCTCTCTACATATAAATGGCCCAGCTCTATAAATAATTTCACAAAGAATATCTAATAGTGAACATTCCCGGTTTGGACCATTCTACTAGTTGAAAACTGGTATTCAGTGAATGGTGTGGAAAGTTTCCCCCTTTCTGAATCTGAAGGCAGAGGGGCCCACAGCTCACTGGACACCAGACATGGAAATGTCCCGGTGCCCCAACTAATCTCTTCAAGAATAAGAAACCCTGCAGCCCCACCCATATCTGTCATCTTGCTTCTGCAGAAAGGCCTAGTTCCACAGTTTATCTCCAAGAGGACAATATTCATCCTAATCTTCACAGGTATATTTGTCCAGGCTAAGCTCTCTGGGGTCTTCTCAGAATGAGGGCAGGCTGATTCCTCTTTCTGCCGCAATGCTCAACAGCCTGTCACTCTGATAGTTTCCAACATATGGAAGCCACAGCTCCACAAGAAATCTCACCAAGAACAAGGAGTAGCTGAATCTTCACAGTCTATCAGTGGAATCTCTGAGGCTTTCTCTGAGTGTAACCATGAGAATCCACTCTTTTTCTGAAGGCACATTGACCTCAGCTCTCCACACACCTTCTAATATAGAAAAGACACTGCTCTACAACTAATCTGAAAAGCACACAACTAATCTTGAAAAAAACAGCCCAAACACGTCAATGGTTAAATCTACCATAAATGTAGGGGGATAATGGATAGGAAAGATAGATAAGGGACCACTATGACAGTAATTTTTGGAAATGATCATGCTAGACAAAAACTAAGTGTTAAAATTAGGTAAAGAGCTATACACGATGAACTTTCAGTCTCTGTATTACAAACCACAATGCCTAAAAGGAGAGAGAGACAGAGACAAGAAAGAGAGACACAGAGAGAAAAAAGACAGCAAGACAGAGAAACAAAGACATGCATGCACACACACAGACACATGCACACACACAGAGAGAAGAACCGTGCTTATCATAGAGGCAGGTCGGGAGGGTATGTTGGATGATAAGAAGAAAACTGAGAACAGTGGTGCTGGGAAATGTACACTGGTGGAGCGATGGGTGTTTGAAAATTTTATAACTAAAACCTAATCATGAATAGCCTTGTAATGGTCTATATTACAGTGATTCAATTAAAAATTATAAATAAATAAAAAGGTAAAAAAAAGTATTTGCACTATGAACATGGTAGAGTATGTATTTCTATTATATACACAATATTCTAATCCTTTCAATTCTTTATTAGCAAATTTGACAACCCAGTGTATTAAAACACCTCATTTTCACCAGGTAAACTTTCACATAATCTATAAAGAATTAACTTTTTTTCCCTACTATACGAAGTATGGTAAAAAACCATTCAAGCGGAATTAGCATGCTTCCTGACATTAGTGAGTTTGTTGCATACTCAAAACAGATATTGAGTGTTAAAAATCACACAACAGTTTGTGACTCCGAATGATAGGCAATACAAATTAGAAGTCTCATAAAATAATCGGAATGTTATGAAAGAAGCAATATGTTTAACAAATTCAATACTTAATGGCAGGTGGTATAAAGGAACAACAAGAAAGGAACTTTTGAAAGATTAAATCTCAAGTGAGGTTTTTTGTTTGTTGAATGGTATATGTTATTATTCAACTTATAATTATAATATCCTTTGTGACTCTAACAAATTAGAGTGACCTGGATTTATTATGGCTGGACACTTTGAGTTTCTTAAACCCAAGTGCATTCAATCCTGAGCTCTGAAAAGTTCTTAGATATCATTTCTTTGACTAATAGCTCTCTATTTGACATTTTAAAAACCCTAAAGACTCTGTAAAATACCCTAGAAATAATGAATTTGTACAGTAGTGGCAGTCTGAAAAACATCATTGCACAGAAATCTATGATATGTTTGTATGCAAACAATGAAGTTGAAGGGAAAATGTAAAAAAATATTCCATTCACATATGTCTTTCACAACAATCAAGTGCCTTGAAATTACCATAATAAAAACCATACCACAATTAAAATATAAGAATACAGAAGGAAAAGTAAATATATTCCCTGTTCTGTATCAGAAGGATTGATACTGTCTAAATGGCCATCCTTTCTATATAGCAGATTCAATGTGGACCCTATAAAAATATCCATGACATTATTTAACAGACATAGACCAAATGCTGTCAAAATTTATATAAGGTACTGTTAAAATTTATATAGGGTAATAAGATTCCAGAATAGTCAAAGCTACTTTAGGTAAAAAAAAGATACGAGGCTTTTCTTTCCCCAACTTTTAACTATAAATATGCCACAGGAGCTGGAGCAATAGTGCATCGGTTAGTGCATTTGCCTTGCATGCAGACAATACGGGTTCAATCACCAGCATCCCATATAGTCCCCTGAGAACCACTGGGAGTAATTCTTGAGTGCAAAGCCAGGAGTAACCCCTGTGCATCACCCGGTGTGACCCAAAAATAAAAAAAAAGTGTATGCCACATAAATATAATATTCCAAATATCTGGCTTTAATTTCACCAGGGCACCCCAGATGGAGCAAACGCAGTCCCCGACCTACTCCAGATGGAATTCCAGTGACCAATATATTCCACAAGCAAGCCCTCACCTCCCTCCCTTGCCCCCATCCCTGCACGCCTGCAGGTTCCAGGACTAAATCCCCAGGCCACATGGTGGTGCCATCTTAGCTCACCAACAGCCCTGGCCTAGAGACTCTCAACTGAATCCCAAAATGGATTAGTGCCATAAAGAGATGTCTCTAGAATCCTAACCATTTACAATCTAGAAATTTACATTTAAAATCACGTCCATGCAAGCTCTCATGATATTCAAAATGAGCAGTGGAAAATAAATTATCTAACATCTGCCCCTGGTAGGTAGGCTTGAATGGTGGTGGGAAAATTTGACCAAAGCATAATGCCCCAAATAAGAGAGAAAGTATTGGGGAAATTGTCTGTCATAGAGGCAGAGTACTGGGATGCGGTGGGGTGGGGTGGGGGTGGCTGGGAATACTGAGGACATTGGTGGTGGAAAATGTGCACTGGTGGAGGGATGGATGTTTCATCATTACATGGCTGAATCTCAAACATGAAAACTTTGTAACTCTATCTCAAGTGATATAATAAAACAAAATATAAATAGAGATGCAGAGTTCAGGCCCCATTAAATCAGCTTAATCAATGACTGAACAAATAGCAGTACTCCTACATTATTTAAAATATAGATAGATAGATAGATAGATAGATAGATAGATAGATAGATAGATAGATAGATATCTGGGCTTTAAATTCACATACACTGGATAAATAGAAAATTCTACTTTAGCTGGCAAAGCTTCCTGATGTATTCTCCCTGAAAGACTACCAAGCTTTTCTTTCTCTCTTCTAAGGACAAATAAATGTCTTCACGAATCACGACCATCCTGTTATTCGTCGATTGCCTCGAGCAGGCCCCAGTAACGTCTTCTTCATCCTAGCCCTGAGATTTTTAAGAAAATGCTATATTCAAGGCTCTTTATGAGAATGAGACCCATCATTGTAACTGGTATTTGGCATATTGGGTATGAAACAAGGAGTTTGCCAGACTCTGCCGTGTGGGCAGGTTACATTCTGTAGCCTGCCAGTTTATCCAAAGTAGGAATGAGATAATAAGATGTCATAATAAGATATCACATGGCTGCAAATGCGGCCACGTGGTTCCAGGAGCTGGTTTTTATAGTCTCCGAGTCTTGGCCGTTGAAGGGATTACACGGCAATGTCTTCATTCTTAAAATATTTGTCTTTTAAATTTTGTCACAAAATAGAAACAGACACTTAGCCTCAGATTTTTCTTGCCATAACACACTCATGCTTGGGGGAAAGTGGTCCAAATAGAGAAGATTAAGTGAATTCCCTGCTGCAACATCTATATTCCCCATTTCAATAAGCAAGCTACAAACAAGATTAAGTCCTTCAATTTCATCTCATGGTTCTAAGGTTTCTCAAATACTTTAGGTGCATCTCCAGGTGTGCCCCCCCCAAAAAAGATAATACCACACATGAAAATAAAACATGAATATCTGCTGAGAAACCAATCTAAAAATGGTCTATTTTCTGTCTTTGAAAATGAAAGGAAATAGAATTAGAGTAAAATTCAGTATCTGATGATGAGTTGCATGCTTTAAACAGATACTCTCATAGAGGAGACTGACACTCTCACTAAAGGGCCCTGAATTTTCACTTTCCTTCAAAGCGCACTCAGATGACTCAAGGAAACCACCAGTGAATACAATTGATCAGGTCAGTGGTTTACAATCCTAGGCAA